GCAACACCTTGTTCAAAATTATGCTGTTCCTCACTTGCTTCGATTGGAAGGAGTAGGTTTATGGCAACACCATGTTCGAAATTAGATTGTTCCTCACTTTCTTGGATTGGAAGGAGTGGGTTTATGGCAACACCTTGTTCAAAATTATGCTGTTCCTCATTTGCTTCGATTGGAAGGAGTAGGTTTATGGCAACACCTTGTTCGAAATTAGGCTGTTCCTCACTTTCTTGGATTGGAAGGAGTAGGTTTATGGCAACACCTTGTTCAAAATTATGCTGTTCCTCACTTTCTTGGATTGGAAGGAGTAGGTTTATGGCAACACCTTGTTCAAAATTATGCTGCTCCTCACTTGCTTCGATTGGAAGAAGTAGGTTTATGGCAACACCTTGTTCGTTATTAGGCTGTTCCTCACTTGCTTCGATTGGAAGGAGTAGGTTTATGGCAACACCTTGTTCAAAATTATGCTGTTCCTCACTTGCTTCGATTGGAAGGAGTAGGTTTATGGCAACACCTTGTTCGAAATTAGATTGTTCCTCACTTTCTTGGATTGGAAGGAGTGGGTTTATGGCAACACCTTGTTCAAAATTATGCTGTTCCTCATTTGCTTCGATTGGAAGGAGTAGGTTTATGGCAACACCTTGTTTGAAATTAGGCTGTTCCTCACTTTCTTGGATTGGAAGGAGTAGGTTTATGGCAACACCTTGTTCAAAATTATGCTGTTCCTCACTTTCTTGGATTGGAAGGAGTAGGTTTATGGCAACACCTTGTTCAAAATTATGCTGTTCCTCACTTGCTTCGATTGGAAGGAGTAGGTTTATGGCAACACCTTGTTCAAAATTAGGCTGTTCCTCACTTGCTTCGATTGGAAGGAGTAGGTTTATGGCAACACCTTGTTCGAAATTAGGCTGTTCCTCACTTTCTTGGATTGGAAGGAGTGGGTTTATGGCAACACCTTTTTCAAAATTATGCTGTTCCTCATTTGCTTCGTTTGGAAGGAGTAGGTTTATGGCAACACCTTGTTCGAAATTAGGCTGTTCCTCACTTTCTAGGATTGGAAGGAGTGGGTTTATGGCAACACCTTCTTCAAAATTATGCTGTTCCTCACTTGCTTCGATTGGTAGGAGTAGGTTTATGGCGACACCTTGTTCAAAATTATTCTGTTCCACACTTGCTTTGATTGGAAGGAGTAGGTTTATGGCAACACCTTGTTCAAAATTATGCTGTTCCTCACTTGCTTCGATTGGAAGGAGTAGGTTTATGGCAACACCTTGTTCAAAATTATGCTGTTCCTCACTGTCTTGGATTGGAAGGAGTAGGTTTATGGCAACACCTTGTTCAAAATTATGCTGTTCCTCACTTGCTTCGATTGGAAGGAGTAGGTTTATGGCAACACCTTGTTCAAAATTATGCTGTTCCTCACTTGCTTCGATTGGAAGGAGTAGGTTTATGGCAACACCTTGTTCAAAATTATGCTGTTCCTCACTTGCTTCGATTGGAAGGAGTAGGTTTATGGCAACACCTTGTTCAAAATTAGCTGTTCCTCACTTTCTTGGATTGGAAGGAGTGGGTTTATGGCAACACCTTGTTCAAAATTATGCTGTTCCTCATTTGCTTCGATTGGAAGGAGTAGGTTTATGGCAACACCTTGTTCAAAATTATGCTGTTCCTCACTTTCTTGGATTGGAAGGAGTAGGTTTATGGCAACACCTTGTTCAAAATTATGCTGTTCCTCACTTTCTTGGATTGGAAGGAGTAGGTTTATGGCAACACCTTGTTCAAAATTATGCTGTTCCTCATTTGCTTCGATTGGAAGGAGTAGGTTTATGGCAACACATTGTTCGAAATTAGGCTGTTCCTCACTTTCTTGGATTGGAAGGAGTGTGGGTTTATGGCAACACCTTGTTCAAAATTTTGCTGTTCCTCACTTGCTTCGATTGGAAGGAGTAGGTTTATGACAACCCCTTGTTCGAAATTAGATTGTTCCTCACTTTTTGGATTGGAAGGAGTGGGTTTATGGCAACACCTTGTTCAAAATTATGCTGTTCCTCATTTGCTTCGATTGGAAGGAGTAGGTTTATGGCAACACCTTGTTCGAAATTAGGCTGTTCCTCACTTTCTTGGATTGGAAGGAGTGGGTTTATGGCAACACCTTGTTCAAAATTATGCTGTTCCTCACTTGCTTCGATTGGAAGGAGTAGGTTTATGGCAACACCTTGTTCAAAATTATTCTGTTCCTCACTTGCTTTGATTGGAAGGAGTAGGTTTATGGCAACACCTTGTTCAAAAATGATGCTGTTCCTCAGTTGCTTCGATTGGAAGGAGTAGGTTTATGGCAACACCTTGTTCAAAATTATGCTGTTCCTCACTGTCTTGGATTGGAAGGAGTAGGTTTATGGCAACACCTTGTTCAAAATTATGCTGTTCCTCACTTGCTTCGATTGGAAGGAGTAGGTTTATGGCAACACCTTGTTCAAAATTATGCTGTTCCTCACTTGCTTCGATTGGAAGGAGTAGGTTTATGGCAACACCTTGTTCAAAATTATGCTGTTCCTCACTTGCTTCGATTGGAAGGAGTAGGTTTATGGCAACACCTTGTTCGAAATTAGCTGTTCCTCACTTTCTTGGATTGGAAGGAGGGTTTATGGCAACACCTTGTTCAAAATTATGCTGTTCCTCATTTGCTTCGATTGGAAGGAGTAGGTTTATGGCAACACCTTGTTCGAAATTATGCTGTTCCTCACTTTCTTGGATTGGAAGGAGTGGGTTTATGGCAACACCTTCTTCAAAATTATGCTGTTCCTCACTTGCTTCGATTGAAAGGAGTAGGTTTATGGCAACACCTTGTTCAAATTAGGCTGTTCCTCACTTGCTTCGATTGTAAGGAGTAGGTTTATGGCAACACCTTGTTCAAAATTATGCTGATCCTCATTTGCTTCGATTGGAAGGAGTAGGTTTGTGGCAACACCTTGTTCGAAATTAGGCTGTTCCTCACTTTCTTGGATTGGAAGGAGTGGGTTTATGGCAACACCTTGTTCAAAATTATGCTGTTCCTCACTTTCTTCAATTGGAAGGAGTAGGTTTATGGCAACACCTTGTTCGAAATTAGGCTGTTCCTCACTTTCTTGGATTGGAAGGAGTGGGTTTATGGCAACACCTTGTTCAAAATTATGCTGTTCCTCACTTTCCTGGATTGGGAGGGTGAGATAGCTATGACTGCCTCCATCGATTCTAATATTCAGTATATCGATCTTTGAAAACAGATAATAAAAATTATTTATGAAATTTTGTTGATAATAAAACAATTTTTGGGGTTTGTCAAGGAATTCTCAAAACCCCTCAAAAATTGTTGCAAAATTTCGACGCTTTGAACCAAACCCCCCCTTCTGCCTCCAAAAACTGAATTTCCAAATCTGTTGGGGAAACATCACACTTCACGTGGCGTCTTTTCTTCCCCTAATGTACTGTTTTCAATGTCAAAATGTGGACAAAAACAAAATGGGTTCACATATGATGAGTGGAACTGGGGTTGAGTGGACTCAAAAAGAGACAACTCGTCTTTCTCAAGATTACTATTGTCAATTATCATTGCTCTCTACATTGAAAAAGTTTGAGTGGTTAAGTTAAAAATAGAGAAAATGTCAATAAAAATAAAAACTGTTAAATTGCCAATAACTATTAAACCTGTATTATTGTTTGTTAACAGTTTTGTTTGTTTGGTTTTCTTAAGAAATTTAGAAAAATGATTTGCTGATTATTTGATTTGCTGATTTGCTGATTTGCTGATTTGAAGTTATGTTTCCCTGGATATATACTCTGGTTTTTTTACGTACATTGATACCATACTTTATGATCGCTATCTGGAAAAAATATTCCGGTATTTGAATCATAAATTAATATAGAAAGAGATTACTTCTATTTTATCATTATATACTGTTAAATTCTACCAGTCCTGTTCAAGCGAATGCCACGATGCTGAATCTGTACTGAATACATGATTCATCCGTATCGGATTCGCAAATCGCTATCAGACAATGAATTCAATTTGATCGAGAAAAAATATTTACACATATCCAATTTCTTCCCAGAAATGATTTCGTCATTTCCCCTCAAACAATTCGCGCTCTTTTCAGACATGCTTTCATAGTTATATGGCGGCAAACAAAAGGTCGACAGTTGAAATGTCAGTGTAGTATGTGTAGAGTGGTTGAACTGTTACCGTAGTGAATCATAATGTTTGATTTAAATTGTGTACTTGGAAATAGACCGGGGCAGTGCTCCATCGAAATTTGAGCGAACTCGAAGAATCTGTATGTCCAATGCTACCAGAGGCGATCCGTGCAGCGTGGATGACATACACTGGACTAATCTTTCTCTAATCGTTGTACATGGAAACTGCTAATATAATCGTTGTACATGGAAACTGCTAATATAAGGTAAAATATTTGCGATAAAAGCATTGAATGATTGTGGACAGTTGAAAAAGTTGATGGTTACAAAGTTGTCGTGAAATTCTTTATCACTGTAGTGAAATTTGAGCTCCTTATCATGTGACAACTATAATAGAAGGTATGCAGAAATCTTTCAAAATCAGTACATGGTAGTACAATGAAATAAATCACAAATCGGCTCAAGTCCATTTGGCAGGATACATGTGACATGGATGGATTTACATGCAGGTGAATGGGGTACTACACCCCAAACACTAGATTTCACCCCCTAACTAAATTGTTCGCCCCTCTAATGAACATTTTAATTACCACTCCCCAATTTTTAGTAAAACATATCAGCAGTATGGTTGAGTTTTCAGGGCAAAATTACTACTTTCTACACAACCTTTGATGGCTACACTTCTAGACCACCATAAATTATAGACCCTTACATTGCCTTACATCACTTCCTTACCAGCACCCCCCAAAAAAAAATTGCTAGCACCACCCCTGTAAAGAATGTGAAAATTTGTCCTTAGAGATGTCAAACTTAAATGTATTTTCTTAATATGTAGCATGGTCTATGTAAGTCTGAAATTAATAGGAGAAAGTAAGCATAGACGAACTCATTATTTTGGGGGGGCTCCCCAACAGCCCCTCGTCTGGTTCAACTGCTCTTAAAATTACATGTTTCACTTGTAAATAAATCTACTTTATTCATATTTTTAGGTGTTTTGAAACATTTTCAGAGAGGTTAGTCAACATTAATGATCATCTCATATCTCAAGTTACTATGCTGCAACTAGGATTTGTAGTTAATGAAAAAATGTTCTAAACAGATATTATTATGGTGCAGAATCTTGAAGCTGTCTATTCTTTGGTGCATTAAAGCAATTATTGTTTGTAATTTTATGCAAATTCAGATGCAAACATAACTATTAGCTTGTGATCATTTGTTCAAATTATTTCTCATTTCAGGACTTAAGTCGAAGTTAAGTGGACCAAAACCAATTAAAACTCACTGACAATTGTAAGCATGGCTTTACTTGGTGAGTGCTCATTGCATATCGCTCAAAAATTATGAAGTGCAAAATTAAGTTACTCAAAATGCTTAAATTCAACCTTTGTGCACTTGACCACCATTTTTGCTCAAGATAACCTTGATTTGAAAATTTTTCTTTTGGTGTGGTTTCTCTTTTAAAATTTGTAGTAGCCACAATCTGCAGGGAAGCATATGGGAACATGATGTTTGCCTTAAAATGTTACCTTAGAGAGCATTTCATTGCATATCAGCATTTCAATCAAGCTTGAGTTGCCAAGCATATCTGCCATGCTTCTAAACCATTTGATATTATCTATGAAATATTATTTATCGTCCACACCACCTTGAACATGAGAATGTAGAAATCTTTTCTATTTATTTCATCAACTGTAGCACCAACTTTCAAATCAAGAAGCCCTAGTACCTCTGGTCTGTGGCAAACCATGAGGTTAAAAAATGACCATACCTTTTCTTTTATTATAGGACCTGTATTGTATGAGTTATTAGCAGAAAATACACATCGAAAAACTTCGCTCTTTGCACATGCAACCATCAACTGATAAAGAATATTCTAATACGTACCATAGTGTACATTTCGCGAACTAAAGTACGGAGATCGCTCGCGTGCGGTTGTACTATTAACGTAGCGACGTATAAATTTACCTTCGTTAGAATGTTAGTGTAATAATTCACCAAAATGCGTTTTCTTCGAAGAAAATGCGATTGTAACAATGTTTTGAAAATAACAAATCAGCTTATTTACCAACATTCTGTTTATAATCATGTAGCGTTAATTCCAAATTTATTGGTGTGAAATAGAACGTACTTTCATAGAAGTGCGCATTTTGTGTAATTCTGTAGAATTCCGATCTTACCTTCCGAAGAATCCGAACTTTTTGATTTTCTTTCCTAGACTCGGATAATTCTCTTTGTTGAAACGCGTAGGTGGCTGAAGGTATTGTTTGAACGCGAAAATTTCCCGCCGCTCTTTGATTGGGTGATTTCGTTGATACCAATCGTAGATGTAAATATGAGGGCTCTGGTAAATATACCTGTGATTGGTCGATATCAGCTTAAGCCAAAAACATTTGCAACATATCATCCCCCCTCCCCTCCCCTCCCCCCTTACAAAGCAAGAGTCTTGGTGCTCATGCCAGCGGAAGTAGTCGTTTCAATACGTGATTTAACATTTTTGCATGCTTCATGATTCCGTAAACACATCCTCATTAATGTCTGTAAAACGTACAGTGGTAAAGTTTTTTAATGATTTATAATATAGATTTTGAACAAAATTATCTGGCGAGTGCATTTTATTTTATATTTGGTCATAAATGAAACAGTAATTTTGAACATTTTATGAATTATGCTGTAGAATGTTGTCATTGTTATTGAGGTTTAGTTGAGAAGGACCTAAAAGGCAACACATTTATTTTTTTTATTCATTTTATTTTAAATTTTAATTTATCAATGCTGCATTCGTTTATGTGTTAAATGAGACAGCACATCTTTGAATATAATAGTAGCAAAATATTTAAACAAAAGCAACAAACTCAGTTTGGATTTAATCAAATTAATGCCCAATACAATTATATTTTTCAAAACTTTGAAATACTTTGAGACTTATTATAAAGTTACCAGTCACACAACATCTTATACTAATCTTGCATTCTGAAATATCTGTTGGAACATGGTATTTTTTGCTTCTTCACAATACACTGTATGTGTTGGTTTTATAAATTGTTATATGTATGTATGTATGTATGATCTCAAAAGCACCAGAGTAATTATGGATTTAAAATAAATCACAAATTTTTTTATGAAAAACATGTTTCGTTTTTCCAGTCTACTGAAGTTCACTTAATGTAAGTTGATGTTTATAATAAAAAAGTTGTCATTTATTTTAAATGCCTTATTGTTATATGTGTTGGGTTTTTAATTCACCCAACCATTTAATACAGTTTTGAACAATGAAAAATCAAATTTGAATCTTAGAAAAGGTGACCATGTCTACTTAATATAGGTGGACTGTTCAGTAAAGGTCACTTAAATAGTATTTATATTTTGAATTTTTGGGACATTACCACACAATTACCAAAAATAACCACTGTATGAAAAAATGTATGCTCCAAACAGATGTTTTCAAACAAGTCTCTTTCTTACATAATTCATTCATATTTAAATTGTTATGCATCAAGATCTTTCAGTTGTAGAGAAAAGCGTTTCAGTTCCTAAGTCCTTGACATAAAACAACTATATTACAATAAACCAAGCACCCACAAAGTAATAAAAAAATTTCATTTAAGATAATTCACTTAAGAAAGACTGGCCAAAAAAAATTCCAGTGCCACATCTTCCTCTATGGTATATCAAAACTACATATTATTATTCCCAATTGCTAATTATTGCTCTAAATAGTAAATAAAATGAATACAATATTTGTCACATTATCACTCTCTTGAGAAATTACATTTCTATTGTCTTTCACATGTATAAATATTGTGCTTTAGTACATGTTTCTCTTGCTGGAAACTCTTTAGGACAAAATTTCTTTACTCAAGAATTTTAAAATGAAACAAATGAAATAAAGACTGCTGAATCTTATGGCAAAGACAGTGAATATTCTGAATTTTTAGCGAAACAAATCTGTAGTACAGTTGAACTGAGTTTTTCTGGGCAATGTTTCAACTTTCTTTAACATCTTTGGTGGCTGCACTACCAGACCTCCCCTACGTTTTATAAACAAATCAGTAGTACAGTTGAACTTTAAGTTTTTATGGGCAATGTTTCAACTTTCTTTAATATCTTTGGTGGCTGCACTACCAGACCTCCCATAACATCTACACTTTTATTGTCGTCACTTCTTTACCAATTGACTATTAAATTAGCACTTTTACTTTCCAGTATTTTCTTGCGTGTAGCATTTACTGTGAAATAAAAAAATTCTCTACCAAAGTCTTATGACGTATATTGTGGAATAATTCTTGTTAAACCAAAAATTCTTTTATCAAATTGATTAATTTTCGTCAATTATTGAAAGAAATTAGGTTAACTAGCGTAAGTTTATACACATGATATTTAATCATATAGTATTTCTTGTCACGCAGAGATCATATGACATTCTTCCAGAGATCAATACTTTCATTTTCTAGTCATTGTATTCATTGGAGAAGACGCCTTAGGAAAATTTCGACAAAATTGCGCAAAGCATTTTCATCAAAAGGTAAATATCATGTATTAAGTATTTGTTGTTCGAATTTCAGTGACATAAGTAAAGTACATGGGAACGAACTTCTGAATTCGAATTCCAGTTTGTCACAGATTGTTAAGATTATTTCCGTGAATATTCGCTATCTGTATGTTGCTAAAAGTTTAATAAATTGTATGAATGATTGTAAGCAATGCAAAATTACATGCGATCCCAAAGACTAGTCAATGTAAATCACCGTTAGTTACTGCTTGTGATTAACTAAAAGCAGCTTCCACGAGATCTAAATATCTTCGAGTCTTCGACAGTAGATAAAAATCATTTAATAAACATTCGCTCCTAGAAATGTTGGGACATAACACTTCCCAAATTTGAATTTATTGTTACATGTTTCGTTGTACTAATCACGGCAATGTTTGATGAATTTTTGATATTCGTTTTTTAAGTAACAATAGTTGATATATGTGATTCTACAATTGTTTTGATGTGAAATGAACAAACGTGCGCTATGCATGATGGTTGTTTGCAAATTCTATTTCAAAAATCGAAAGAGTTTGTGAAAATTTATCTGTTGAAATTCAATTTTATTCTTAAGGTGTCGACAGCAGTAGACTGCATTTTATTCATCGTTTAGAGTCATCAGTCAACATATTTATTTGAGAAATGACAAAAGGCTACTCTCCTTAACGGCTTTTACTTTTATTATGCACCAAGTCTGCGTCCGCAAAGAATGATGGGGTTTTGTTACGACATAATGACGCATTTGCACATGTGATATTGTATAGTTCGCAATCTCTTACTTCGTCATGATCATTCTCGTTGAACAGAAATTATGCTCGTTATTGACTTTAATGCATGGCTATAAGCACGGTACTTATTACGTAGTTGCAACTCTAGATGATTTGTAGTCGATGTTTATTGAAATTAAATGATATTTTGAAGTCAAAATTGACAAATTAGTCTAGTTTGACGTTTTTTTCTTTATATAGTGAATCATGAGCGCCGACGACGACGTTGATAACGTTGATCAACAAGAATTGGACAGTGTTTTATGTACTGAAGAAGGTAACCTGTTTGAAATATTAAAGAATTCTTTTTTAATTATCAACCTAAAGGTCCAACTGATCGTTTCAAATTTAACCATAAGCGCTCGATTTCTTTGATATTTATTAAAGCAAAGCAAGTGACGTTTGTCGTTTCGTTTCGACTCAAGACATCTTCAAATGAGATGTAATTACTTAGATAGTTAAGGTGTGAGGTTTGTGTGGATGTGTACTTACAGTGTAAAGTTCATATTGAGTATTGTAAGGAAATGTAAGAATTACTGTACAAGATATAAGGGGGATAAGTAATGGGGGGAAATTTACCCTTAGTTGCTTCCTGTAAAAGGGCACACAGCAAAGTAAAAGTAATAAACAGAAACTTTTGAGCATCGTAGTAAGTCTATGTAATTCGTCTAAGAAGTCTTGAGTCAAGACGAAACGTCGCTTGCTTTTTTAAGTAAATACTGAAAAAATCAAATGCCGATGGCTTTCTCAATCACGATCTGTTGGGATCTTATCTTTATATTTAGAATTCGATTCACACCTGGCACCTCACTGGCAACATTGAAATTTTATAAATTCTTATTAATTGTTGTCCATTCATATTTACGATGTATTTGACATGTTTGACGTATTTTTTAGTTGCAACAGATTGTTGAAATTCATATCCCGTTGGAATCCTACAGTGGCAGTACGGCCCTACGAACGAACGATTTGTCTCTGAATCGAGAGAGTAAATATCAATATACTGTCCAGTTGAAGAGCTAAAAATCCTACGGAGGTAATGGTTAGCCCAAAGGATTGGGGAAAATTGAAAAAACAACACAGGTGAGAGAACGTTGCTAAATCGATCAGAGTACATGGTTCTCAAAAACCCTTTGTGGAAATAAGTAGTTTGACTTCCAATGATTTATCTAATGTCAAATTCTCACATGTTTGTAGATGCAGATTGTCCAGGTTGGTAGAATCATGAGAAGGACTGTTTTTGTTGTTGTTGACTGACGTTTCGACAATCTTAGCAGTAGTCACCTTTGAATTCAAGTTGACTTTCTCAGGACTACTAACCATGACGATCTACATCTAAAAACATGTAACGATACACCTGGGTTCAAACCATTTACATTATTAAAGTTAAATTTTCGTAAATCATAGTCGTTGTTAGAGTAAAAATTTGTAACCGAGAAACTATTTTAAAATAGCTTGCGCCAAAAACGACACCAATAGATTGCAATTGGAATGCATAAGGTTATGCGTATTCATGCATGCATGTTCTGCAGAATTAAATTCTTTTTGAAATCTATTTAGATATCTCTTTAGATTAAGACATGCATTCATAAATTTGAACCCTCCCCCCTTCATCATCAACGAGTTTGCTACGCCCCTGTTATGGAATAGACAGAGTAAATTAGAACATAAATAGAAAATTTTTATTATTAGTCCATAGTAAAATGTAGACTTACTCAAGTAAGTTAATTAAGGTTCAAATATCGTCACGTCCAATATAATGCCAATGTCATTAATAGGAAAGTACATACAGGTTAGAGATATTATGGGGAAAAAGAACTTGATATTTTTTGTATCCAATAATTTCTAGTCAAATAAGGAGAGGCACCCTATCTGTTGTAATCAAATGGGTTTTTTGTTGTCAATAAGTTATTGGAATTGTCAAGGTTAGCCGAGAAGTTCATTAAGTATTCAAAAAATAAGAAATTCAATAACCATTTGGAATAATCAAGCATTGTAACTGTACAATAACTTTATTCGTAAGTATGCTTAACATATTGGCCAATGGGCAATGTGTAGATTGGTTATATGTAACGAAATTTTTTGTCCCTCTTTTTGTTTCTAAGCACAGTAGATCTATGATTCATCGTATGTATTAATCACATTCTGCTTCTTCTAGCCTTGATAACTTTCTTATGTAATCAACATCTTGGTCCTTTGTGCTTTTAATTCTTGGAGAAAATGTTTTGAAAAAAATATTTCTAATATGTTGCTGTTTCCGTAGAGCAAGTAATATAATGACTTTAAAAATGTTATCTATAAAATGGCCATTTTCAGCCAATAGACATTCAAATTCTGTCTTAGATAGGTGATTCTCTATTCCTGAGTCAAAACTTGTGAAACTTTATTACATTTAGCACGAGTCCTTTGGAATTTGACTAATCTCAATGTTATCATGCACTCTGTATGCGGTACTTATTTATGTATTTTTATTTCTATGGCAATTGTTTTCAGTCAATGATTTATACTTAGTTATATAACTGAGATGTTCTACATAGACATACTATAGAAGAATATACAGTAGAGCCACTCTATTGAAATTTTTCGTGCCACACATATCTTATTACGAATGTGATTACCATAGTGGCAGCCAGTCAATTGCTTTTTTTAACGAATAGGAATGATGAAATGCCTAACGGCAGCCAGTAATATAATTAAGTATACAGCAGCCAGTTGCACACGAAGTGGACCTAATGTATATTCCCTATACTGTGACATAGATGTCATTAATGTTTCATAATACTGTTTGTTGAAGTAGACCCTGACTCATTTTTCATCTTCGCTCGTTAATTTAATATGTTTAAGACACAAAACTTACATGGATAAAAAATTAACGTTACAATAAGGCATAAACTATGATCACCATTTTTTAACTGATATGTATGTGGTCGCGTTGTTTATATTAAATCTCCCAACCGTTTGTTGAGTATGTGACATGTAAAGAACTAAAGCAAGCACTTCTAAAACGAAGGTAATTTTAGAAAACATTAAGCGATATTTTAGAACTACATTGCCGACATAACAAATTACCTAAAGCAGCATCTCGATAAAGTATGACTAAACATGCATGAGAAATCATATCTAAATTGATATACCGACTTTCTAACTATTAGCAATAAGCTGCATGGTAAAGGAAAGCAAAACCTGTTCAAAGGTATGGGAGAGGTGAAATAGGATACTTGTCTAAGGAAAAAATCTGTGAAAATTTATGAAGGGGTAGCATGTCCAATCATGCATGACCTCCCTTTTTTGCCGACGCCACATTTGACTAATCGCTGTGTGTCTAACAAAATGTTGTTAATTGTATTGAGGAAACCATTCTTTTAAAGTAAGAACATTTGTAAAATAAGCAAATGTTAAACATAGGAAGAATGTATTTACAAAGGGAAAGAACGCAACCGAATCTATTTTTGTAAAATGTTGATTCAAGCAACAAAGCGAGCTTCTAAAATTATACTTTTGATTATGTTTGTTTAACAGTTTTAAGGTTTACTTTTATTGCATTCTTTACTGTTGTATCTACAGTGTTTTTATTGATCATAAGTAATTATGATTGCGTGCAGTTGATGTTTGTCACGTATTCATAATTTATAGTGGTTTATTCAATAACAAAGGTTTTTTATAATATGAACTGACTTATGCAAGAATATACATGTATGGAATTTTTGATCAATGAAGGAAAAAAATCCATTCACAGTTTCGAAACTCGTGTCTTAATCATTGCCATTTGAATCCAGTCTAAGATAGGTGATTCTCTATTCCTGAGTTTAAACTTGTAAAGCTTTATAAGATTTAGCAGTAGTCCTTTGGAATTTGACTAATCTCAATGTTATTATATACTCTGCATGAGGCTCTTATTTACGTATTTTTATTTCTATAATAATTGTTTTTAATCAGTGATGTATACTTAGTTATATTACTAAAATTTTCTATATAGATGTCATTAATGTGTTATTATACTGTTTGTTGAAAGAGATCCTGACTCACTCTTCATTTTCGTTCACTATTTAAATGTGTTTATGTAGCAAAACTTACATGGATGAAAGATTGATGTAACAATAAGGTATGAATAATGATCACCATTTTTTAACTAATATGTTTGTGGTCGCGTTGTTTATGTTAAATCTCTTATCCGTTTGTTGAGTATGTGACATGTAAAGAACTAAAGCAAGCACTTCTAAAACGAAGGTAATTTTAGAAAACATTAAGCGATATTTTAGAACTACATTGCCGACATAACAAATTACCTAAAGCAGCATCTCGATAAAGTATGACTAAACATGCATGAGAAATCATATCTAAATTGATATACCGACTTTCTAACTATTAGCAATAAGCTGCATGGTAAAGGAAAGCAAAACCTGTTCAAAGGTATGGGAGAGGTGAAATAGGATACTTGTCTATGAAAAAATCTGTGAAAATTTATGAAGGGGGGTAGCATGTCCAATCATGCATGACCTCCCTTTTTTGCCGACGCCACATTTGACTAATCGCTGTGTGTCTAACAAAATGTTGTTAATTGTATTGAGGAAACCATTCTTTTAAAGTAAGAACATTTGTAAAATAAGCAAATGTTAAACATAGGAAGAATGTATTTACAAAGGGAAAGAACGCAACCGAATCTATTTTTGTAAAATGTTGATTCAAGCAACAAAGCGAGCTTCTAAAATTATACTTTTGATTATGTTTGTTTAACAGTTTTAAGGTTTACTTTTATTGCATTCTTTACTGTTGTATCTACAGTGTTTTTATTGATCATAAGTAATTATGATTGCGTGCGGTTGATGTTTGTCACGTATTCATAATTTATAATGGTTTATTCAATAACAAAGGTTTTTATAATATGAACTGACTTATGCAAGAATATACATGTATGGAATTTTTGATCAATGAAGGAAAAAAATCCATTCACAGTTTCGAAATTAGATAGGTGATTCTCCCACTCATGAGTTAAAACTTGCGAAACTTTAGATGATTTAGCAGTAGTCCTTTGGAGTTTGACAAATCTCAATGTTATTATATACTCTGCATGTGGTTCTTATTTATGTATTTTTATTTCTATAACAATTTTATCTAATCAGTGATGTATACTTAGTTATTTAACTAAAATGTTCTACATAGATGTCATTAATGTTTTATTATACTGTTTGTTGAAGGAGATCCTGACTCATTTTTTATCTTCGCTCGTTATTTTAATGTGTTTATGTAACAAAACTTACATGGATAAGAAATTAATGTTACAATAAAGCATGAACTATGATCACCATTTTTTAACTAATATGTATGTGGTCGCGTTGTTTATATTAAATCTCTCATCCGTTTGTTGAGTATGTGACATGCAAAGAACTAAAGCAAGCATAATTTTGTTCACACGGTCGTCTTACTTCTAAAACGAAGGTAATTTTAAAAAAAATAAGCGATATTTTAGAATTACATTACCGACATAACTAATTAGCTAAAGCAGCATCTCGATAAAGCACGACTAAACAGGCATTAGAAATCAGATCTAAATTGATATACCAACTTTCTAACTATTGACAATAACTTCCATGGTAAAGGAAAGCAAAACCTGTTCAAAGGTATGGGGAGGTTAAATAACATACTTGCCTATGGAAAAAAATGAGAATCTGTGAGAATTTATATAGGTGGGTAGCATGTCCAACCATGCATCACCCTTTTTTTCCGACGCCACTTTTGATAAATCGCTGTTTGTCTAACAAAAAGTTTTTAATTGTATTGAGGAAACCATTCATTTTTAAAGTAAGAACATTTGTAAAGTAAGCAAATGTTAAACATAGGAAGAATGTATTTACAAAGGGAAAGAACGCAACCGAATCTATTTTTGTGAAATGTTGATTCATGCAACACAGTGAGCTTTTAAAATTTTCCTTTTGATCAGGTTTGTTTAACAGATGAGATAAAACACGGATGTGGGGACAAAACAGGGATAAGGGGATTAAACACAGATTTTTGTAAAATTTTACTTCTTTTCATGTGGTGGTGTTTAGCAAAATCATCATGCAAATGTTTTGCATGGTGTGTTTTTGTTTAAATTGTTCTATGTGCCAAATTCTATAAAAGTGAAACAAAATGTTTTAAAACATCAATCAAAAAATAATTCGAAAGAATTTATTTTACATGTGAATATAGTTAGCATATAAGCTTTCTGCCAAAGACATTATCTATACATTTTTTTTCTGCCTGAAAAAGTGACCCTATGAATCAAGTTGCAGGTTAAATGTAGCGGGTAAAATGAAGTAGAATTGCACTTTTAAAAGTAGATGATCGTAGAAAAAGTATGTTAAACTCTCGGGGATTCTTTATTTCTGTACATGCACACTTGAATGTGCATAATGTTCTCTAGGAATCAACGTTCCTTGCTGTTAACACTAAAATATCTTCACAGCGCTGAAAATTGATGACTTGCGTTTGTTATGCATATAGGCACGTTCACACGATCCAATTTGTCGTATCCGATTGTTTCGGTTCCGACTTTAATTTGGTTGATTGCTCAGACGGTCGGATAATTTTGTTGATATTTATGTTCGTTTAGATATTTATATTTATGTTATCCAGAATATTTATCGATATATTTTTCGTATTTTGTTCTTCTTTACTTGTCTTTTTCAAATCTATGTAATTTGACTAATCAGTTTTTCTTGATCTTGTTTGATGAAAATAGAACAAGCTCTATTTTCATACGATTTTTTAGATGGACGAATCAGACTGTCTCAGTTTTTTTGTGTTCACAGTATCCGTTTTCTATTATCCGAAAATTTTGTCATTAAACAATATAATAAACTGACAGTTGCACAGAATTTAATCGTTTTCAAGTAACAAACAATGACATCGATTTTATTTCAAGTTAAAATACATAAATGCTTCTTTTCTCTTGTCATTGTCGATATATTAAACATACGAGTGAATTAAATTACTAGTTACTGTAGTAAAGACAGTTTTTCATTTAAAATTTACTTAAGACTTTGACTAATGTAAGTATGATTGGACCCTAAAACTGGTTAGCTTTGTTATTCTTGATAAGCATTTAAACATGGTTATTGTCGAACCATAAAATACAACAAACATTAACAAGATATTCAAGTTAGATTTCAAACATTGTATAGGAAAAAAATATAGTTTAAGCAGAACATTAAATCACTGTGTTTAACATGAGTTTTTCTTGTTCTAAAGTTTTTTATGTCATCGTTTAATCTTAAAATGATCGTTGTAGAGGATTTTCATCACTTAGTTACGTACATCAACATATTTTGAACTTTTGATATGATAAAACTTGTTTGTTGATATGTGTTGATTTGCTACTGAAATAACATGCTAAAATCAATATTTTATATGTGTTCTTCATCTTTTGTAACTGATCAATGATTGCGGACAATGTGTATTCGCTATTTACTTGGATTCATTCATGTAGAGGAACATCAATGATTGTTGGGTGTGGCTCATATTAACTTATGTATATGATATGTTTTTATTCTTCAGTTGCTAGCTATTTCATGTTGTTTGCATATTTTTTTAGAATAATAATCTAACCAATAAAAAATGGTTTTGGTCATAGGCGTACAGATTCTTACATCTTTTACACAATTTTGGATCAACTCTCATAAAAATTATGCCCACCAATTTTTCATTGGTTTTCTTATTACAATGTTTTGTTGACCATTATTATTGCGTTCATCACTTTTGTTGACTTCTTGACACACTCCCTTTTTTAGCAAGAAAAACTGGGGCAGGACTGTAGGATGATTGTTAATTTGGAGATCATATCATGTATGCATAATATAGGCTACATGTGTTAAGTTGCTTTGAAAACCATTGTTGTCTAGGGATCATTACATCCAAATGTTTATTCCACCCCAACCACTGTATAGAGAATATACAGTGGGACCACTTTCTGTGCAACCTACTGCTGTATATATAATTATATTACTTGTTGTAGTTTTCTAGCTTAGTGCACCTATTGGTCAAAAAATGGTAGTGTCTGACTGCCACTATGGTAATCACTTGCAAAAACGATATGCATAGCACTAAAAGATTCAATGCAATCTACTGTATGTTCTCTATAAAATTATACTATATGCTCATTTAACTGTGCCTCAATTACATCATGTCTTCGTTATGTCTTAAGTCGTGAATGAATCATTAGTCCAAATAAATTACACCTGCTCATTTTTTTATCATAATACCTTCTAAACAATGATAATGGTTATAAATTTTTAAAGAATAAAATTTTCAGTGGTTTAGCTAGACAGATAAAATGTTTAGTCCTTCTATGTACGTTTTTATATTCTTTTACTCTGAAAATAATAGGCATTTTACCTTGTGAGTCTTAAAGTGACCCTTCCACCAAAAAAGTTTTCTTAGCAATTTCAAATCTGTTGATGATTTTAAGCCTCGTTGAGGAAAATATTTTAAATTTGGTGAAATCGTTTGATTTTTGTAAAAGCGTTAAATTCACTAAAATCGTATATTCTTGTGAACCATGTCCGTGATAATGAGGAGTCTGAAACTAGCTAATTTTCTCACGTTATCGTGTATTCAATTGGTATTAAGTCAATGCTAGTTGAGCACATTTTAAGTATGTAAGCGCCTAAAAGCATTGCCTTTGCACTTGTAAAAGCATAAAAAAGGTAAACATTTGCGTTGCAGCCAATTGTACGAATGAGTGAAGCCTTTGCTCTCGTATGAGTCTTCACACTATGTCTTATAATGATAAAAGGCCCGAGGCCAAGCGAAGACTGAATATCTGGGTTTTAAAGCAAAGCGCGTATTTGAGCCTTCCAGTGCTTCAACACTTTGTTCGGCTCGATTAATACCAGAGGATTTGGAGCGTCAGTTTAGTAGTTTGCCGAATCAAAAGAACGCTAATTTTGCAGGCCTTAAAAAGATGAGATTAGAATTTGTGTCTTTCCGACCATCCATGCTTTGGAGTTAAAATCCGAATCATTATCGCTCAAGTTTTATTGCTTTCTGAGTTTTCTGTCACGTATCCCGGAATAAAGTTTTTGTAAGAATTATCTGACTGAACACTCAATTCTGATTTTGATTCATCGCTTTCTCTGCAAGACATAATTTTCTCGAATATTTTAATTAAACAGCGTGAAAGAACGTATATATTTAATATAAGCTAAATATGCCCGAATGCTGACTATATTGGATGACGTCAAAATACCTTCTAGTGCCAGTCGCTTTTGTATTATAAAGAACGACGGCATTGGACCAAAAGTGTACAAATTCAAGATGCCATAAAAGCTTGTTGATTTGACCAAATTTCTGGAATTTTTTCTCAGAAAGGCTTAAAATCATAGACTGATTTCATATTGCTAAACAAAAATTTTGGTGGCAATACTGAAAAAGTGTCTGAGTGAGGCAGTGTCTGTCTGTCCGTCGTGATATAGAACATAGTAAAAAATGCGAACGATAACGAATGGTATTGTTTTGTCTAGTATAGTCCATGCCTGAAACTTGATAGCTACACTGTGCAGTCCGTGCTTGTATTTTGTTCTGTATTTTATTCGTATATCACGTTGTTTATCTCTCACCCTGTGTTCTGTTTTTTGGTGAGGAAAATGTAAAGCAGACAGGATATAGTTTTCTTCATATTTATTTCAATTAGTAATGGTGACGATTTGGATTTAACAGATCGTCCAAAATGACGAAGAATTTAAATATATTATGGCCCTATGGAAAATAACTACATCAACAATGATATATGTACAATGTGCAATGCCTCCTCATTTTAACAATAAACATAAAAATTTAAATTGGAACAGAATCATCGGCAACATAGTCCTATCAATAAGCAAATATTCGTGCAAAACAACAAACCGATTTGATATCTTTTCACCACACCATTGTTAGACATATAAGATATATTCATTTAAAAAAATCGTTTTAATTCAAAATGGCGAAGAACTTATCGTTCTATCATTGAAGTTTATGAGATTAATAAGGACATGGCAAGTATATTTTTTCTTGTAAGCTTCCTTTGCACGATATTAGCACGTGAACACCAGCACACATAACATGCACTGAGCGTAGAAGAGCAATAAAAAGGAAAGATAATGATAACTTCCGGGCATTTTTATTAAACATTGAGCACAAAAAACAATTTGTACTAAAGAGAAGTGCCAAAGGAAAGAATGATTTCATTTTGTGGCATTTTGACATGAAAATATTTTTTGTTATTTTTCATATGTTATTGTTACGGAATGGCCTTGGGACTTCACTTAATTTAATGAAAAATACAACACTAAGCAGTTGGAATACTGACTACTGTTTGTTCTATGTACTGTAACTCTGGTCAAGGCTACCCACATGTACAAACACCTACCTATTTTTATGTGCCTTGTACATCTGGGGACGGTTGCACGAAGGCTGGATAGCATTATTCGTCGGATAGTAAAATTTTCAAACTTGTAGAAAAAGGTGTTTATATTTTCCTTAGGAGAAAGAAATTTTCGTAATCTTAAAAGCAATATTTTATTTCAATGATTGCTCAGTTCAAATCACATATTGTTCCCTTTCAAGAGATTTTGTAAAAGTTCAAAACAATTTGCCATCTAATGGATAAAACTATTCTGGCTTTATGTAACAGGCCACAGGTTTTCCTTTATAATCACAATGAATTTGTACCATAAAAGTTTTACCTACTTTTTCAGCTAACATTGACATGGGGTCTGTCTTGAGTTCTAAAAAGGAAACTAATGGTTTTAAGTTGATGAGATTAATTGTTGATGTTGGTGGAGAAGCTTTAAGAATAACATTAAGGAAACAACTTTCAGGTACGGATTTATTTTATATTTTAAATGACAATAAAAATTTTAATAAGCTTTTGTTGCTAAAAGATAAGCAAATAAAGCAACATCAATGGGATCTACTGTATCCTCCTCCTCTAATATTACCAAATGAAAATAAGTTTGATATTACTTTACTTTGTATTCTCCTGCGTAATATTTGTGGTTTAAAACCACCTCGTGATCCAATATGGACGTCAGTAAATGACCCCACTGACTATTCAACTGAAGCAGATATTACTCGTATTAGGTTATTTCGTAATGATCGTTTTGCTCACTTACCTAACACTTCAGTAAGCTTTAATGAATTTGAAGATTTTTGGGTAAAAATAAGCGAACCATTACTTCGTTTAGGAATAAGTAAGGAGGAAATAGATAGAATAACGAGTGAGTTGTATGGTAATGAGGACTATGAAAGGATTTTGAGAGAATGGGATGAATTAAAGAATGATTTAGAAGTTTTAAAATCAGATCACAAAGAAATTAAGAATACCCTAAAGGATGTCGGTGTGAATGTTGTGAAAGTGATAGATAAATCAGAATTAGTAGGAGATGATATTAAAGGAATCAAAGCAAGTGGACATGGACTTACTTCGGTTTCAGAAGAAGATGTTTTAACAAAAAACCTTGTTAGCTGTACTTTTAAAAGTGAAATTAAGCATCATTATGAAAAATACTTGAATGGAACACGTGAATGGGTTTTTAAAGAGTTTTTAGATTGGTTTGAAGACGATACTTCTCAAAATCGTGCATTTGTTATTTCTGCTGTTGCTGGTATGGGTAAGTCGGTAATTTCAGCTACTTTATGTAAACGTTTTCCTCATTACTTGACTGCAGTTCATTTCTTTCAACATAACAACAGTCGTTACAATAAAGCCAATGTACTTCTTCAATCTTTAGCGTTGCAAGTTAGTCGTAATTTTCCAGCTTACAAACAACTTCTTGTGAAAAAACTTTCAGGTCAACTCTCACAGACTTTGAATGACATGAATGTGGAAGGATTATTCTCCCTTCTTTTTTCTGAGTTGTTTTGTAATATCTCAGAATTTCCCAAGCGAATGTTAGTTGTGCTTGATGCTCTTGATGAATGTGGTTATCCAGAAAGAGATGACCTTGCTTATTTGCTTGCTAATCACTTACACAAACTTCCGCCTTGTTTTCGCTTTGTAATTACAACCAGACCTAACGAAGATGCTTTAAATAAGTTCGAAAAATTAAATCCACTGTTCATTAATTGTAGCGATGATCGCAATTTAGAGGATATTAAATTATTGATTGAAGAAAGAATTGGCTCTACTGACAGCCTTTCTGATGTTAAAAACAGTTTGACAGAAAAAGCTGACGGACTTATGTTGCTTGCATCACTTCTTTGCAGCGAAGTCAAAAATCAGGATTTGTTGAAAAGTTCCATACCGAAAGATCTCAGTGAATATTACAAAATTTCCTTAACAAGATTAAGTAAGGAATTAGATATCAGTAACGAAAAGTTTCAGTCAATTTTAAATACTTTGGCTGTTGCTAAAGAACCTCTTCATTGGGACATGATCGATGACGTTCTTTGTTTGAATTCGAATCGCATATCACTTCCGGTTCGAGAGATTATCTCTTGTCTGTTTGTTAGCAATGACGAAGGATGTGTTTCGTTTTTTCACAAATCTTTAAATGATTGGTTGTTGGATGATCGAAAACATATTTACTCAGTAAAAACTCTTTGTGGTCATCAACTTGTTTTAGAATTTTGTTTAAAATCTTTGGATAAACTCAAATCTGGAGGTGTAAACTATGAAATCATCAAACATGCATCAGTTAGGTATTCAGTCAAGTATTGGTTGCATCATTTACTCGCTATTTCTGATTATGATTATATCGTTAAAAATATTGGTAAATATCTTGTTGACTTGGAAGTTTTAGTTGCTTCTGTGTTGGTTGATGGTAGTCGGACTGTTGAAAATTTTTCCTTATTCAACGCACATGATGCGTATTTTCTTATTTCTGAGGACATTCGATTGTTATTTAATGAAGTTTATTCTGTAATGACGTACTCTGTGCTTTTTGAAAATGAAGTAATTTTTTTGCAAAACGTTGCCAACGAAGTCAAGGATCTGTCGTCTCAAGCCACCACAATGCTTCAAACACGTTTCAAAGATTCACCATATCTAGAGTACAGAGACACGGGTTTTGTAAAGGCTCGGTTATTACGTTTACATCGTGATTTGATTTCTGTTGATGTTTCACGAAATCATGATTACGTCGTCTGTGGCTATTATGAATTTGTCGTGCAACTTTTTTCATTAAGAACAAACAGATGTTTATGGATAAAAAATATTGCTGGTCAGTTTAAGCAATATGAAGAGGGAGTCTTTAGCGTTGTCTTTCATCCATTCGAAGATTTGATTTTTGCTTCCCAGCTTGATAAGGTACTAGATATTGATTGTAAAATTTCCTCCAGCCCGTTCCATTGTGATGATTCTACTTCTAAGTTCTTTACCAACAAATGTTTTTCCAAAAATAAGTACACAATGGTCACTAGTTACCAAGATACTTTGACAGTATGGGACGTTGAGAAAGGTGAGAAGAAACGCAGTATTAGATGTAATAATGTGGTGAACTCACTGTGTTTTTCCAATTCTAGAAGATATTTGTGTGTTATTGAGGAAAAAAGAGAGGTTCAAATATTTGATGTAGCGAATAATTATGAAACATTCGTTTACGACGATCATTTACCGTCTGAAGAATTAAGTAAGTATGGTGTTTTGTTAACTGTTGGTCTTCATTCTTGGTGTTGTTGCTTTCGTTTTTATACGAATAAACGTTTCATTGTAAATCTCACTGGTGAAAAACTTCCTCACTTTAATCGTGATTCCCTTACTTCCTATACTCCCATTCCTCTTGATCCTTTCGATGACAACGGATCTAGCTTTTCCTTTTATGGAGCAGGAAATTATTATTTTGTTTTGTATAACGACAATGTTCTTTGGTTTAAATACGGACTTGACTTTCATCTTTATTCAATACCGCGTGCATGTTTAACTGACAGTTACAATTTTCATAACAAGAAATTTTGCTCAAATGGAAAATTTCTGCATCGGAGCAATCAAGAAAGATCAAGGGTAATTATATACCGTCTCAACACGTTTGACTTTGTTGTCAAGGAATGTTTTTTTAGTGACATGGTTGCTGTAGAAAATGGAGTTATTTTGCTTACGGCAAAAAATATTCCTGAGCTTTGGAATAATGATTTGACAAAACTTGTTTATAGTTTTGATGAACTAAAAGGTAGAAACAAAATTTTTGAGGTGAGTGATGTACTATTTGCTTGTCAAAAAACTGATTCTTTTGTATTTTTCAATGTTGAAAACAAGCGTAAAGAAATATCAGTGAATTTTGAAAATTATCGAAATGTGCACGTATTTGCATGTAGCTCTAAGTATCACGTGTTTGCAAAAGTTGAATTTAAGGGTCAGAAAATTTACTGTATGTGGCATGAAGACAAGCTTGTTAATGGTTGGGATGACGTAATTAAAGAGGAAAGCGCCAATTTAATAGCCGACAAATTCTTTGGAGAGTACCTGGGTGATATGACTCGCTGTATAACTTACGCTGCTTTTTCACCTTCAGCAGATAAGTTAGCAATAAGTTACAAGCGTAGCTATGTGAAAGTATTTGACGTTAAAAACATACAAATTATTTATAGTTGTACTCTAGAGTTTTCTATTGATCCAAAGTTTTTCTTTGTTGATGATAGGTATATAATTAGTGATCGATTAAATTTGATTGATTTGAAATATTTTAAGATTGTAGAATTATTTCTCCCACGTTTGAGCATACGTCCAAGAACTTTATATTACTGTCGTAAACGCAAACTTGCTTTGATTTTTTCTTCCATAAAGATCCCGCAACAATGCGTAAAAATCATCTTCTCACAAGGATAAATTTGGTCTTTGATGATAAAATTTCTCACAAATTTGGATAATGACTATAGTATCTTTAAAAAAATCTTGCTCAGTTTTTATGCATGATCCCTATCATTGTTGACAATTCAATTAATGTCTGTTTGCGTATGATTTCATGAAACGACCTTTGTCTAATTTTGATTGTTCTGTACAGAGACCGCAGTGTACGATAATGTCAACATTGAGAGAGATCATGTATAAAAGCTGAAGTTAATCAATTAAAGATGAAAATTCAATGACAATAAAGACAAACCATAAACACAAATGATTTCGTGTCTAAGATAATAATTTTCCTTGCACAAGGAAATAATTTTATTGACCTTTATCTTATCACACAAACATATAAAATGCAAACTATTGTTAGTTATTGTACCACAGGTTATATTTGTTTATATCCACACCATGTAAACATATAATTTTCATGCAAATGTATTCAGTTTTTCGATACTCTTACACCAAAAACAAGTTGCTACTAATTAAATAAATACTATCTTGCACTGAAATAATTTCTTAATACTTTTCAATTATTGCATTTTGATTTACAAAATATCTTGTTAAGAGAGACAAAGACAGCCCAATTGTTACTTCGGTTATATGAATATTTTTATCTTTATCAATTTGAAAAACGTACATTATAATAAAACAATGGTACCTTTGCTAATTTTTTAAGAAAAAGTAAAAAATTGGCTGTCTTTCTTAATGACTGTTAAAAAGTAAATCGTAAACTCCACAAGAAAAGGACTTATGATTGACGTTAATCATCGTGATAAACAATTTAACCATTGTGACTGAACACTCCAAACCATGTGTTATTGTACAAACAGGAAAAATTAACAAAAGTTAGAGAAAGTCTTGCAATATAGAGAGAAAGAAAACAAACGACAATGTTGCATATCGAAGGATGTTTAATGACAAGTTTTTCACTTTTAATGAAAAATTGATATCACGCGTTGTTAAAGTTTGAACACTTTTACTTTGTGAAACGATACTTTATGGAAAATATTTTTTAACAACATCATCTCAAACATCATTGGACATACCGCGAGCTACTTTGCCAAAGTTTGATATGTTTTTGGCTTTTCAATAAAATTCTAACGTCTACTCTTAATTCAAACGATAATACAAGAAGGAGAAGCTTTATTTCATGAAGTGACTCAATAAAAGAAATGACAAATTTATGTACCATGGTTCTCTGTGGATTTATTGTTGTTCAAAACTTTTACATTTTTGAAATGGTGAAGCTGGCTGTTCACTTTGTTCACTTTTTATAAAACTGAAGCGTGAAAATTATCATCTCATGTGGACGTTTTGATGTGAACATAACGCATAAGTAATCATGAGAGTGAATAAAAAGAATTTGATTTTATTACATTGTGGCTATTGGGGATGGCTAAAGGGATTTTTTGCTGCGTCTATAATTGAAGCTGCTTTTTGATACAAAAACACTGTCATTGTGAATATTATGACACTCGAACGCCTTTGCGCATGCTCTGAAATATATGTACTTGAATGGTACTGTAACATTTCTGATATAAATTAAGATCTTAACAGCAACATGTCATGAAAATTCAAAGCAAACGTCAACTATGGATGGTTGTAGAATGAAAGTGATCAGTTTAGTTCATATAAATGGTCAACAATGCATTTACAACAAAAATAACTTCAACGTGGAAGAGCTACATCAAGTTACGAGAATGAAAAGTTTGTAAAAATTTCATCGTCTTTCTTTTGCAAGATATCACATTTATGAATCCTTTGTGCTTTATTTTTTATGTAGTGAACAATTTTAGATCATTAAATTTTTTTTCATCTTGTTGTTTACATATCTACGTATAGTGAATAGATATCTTTCATATGAACTTATTTCTGGACATGTACCGTAAGTATTTCATATTGAGTACATATTTACGTATAGTTAATAACATCCCATATACGGACATCTGCCGTAAGCAGACATTAGGTCGTGGTCTCAAGGATGTCTGTTTACGATTAGCTTGAATGTATGCAGACTTTTCATTATTGCACATTTTCTTTAGGTTTCTAGATTATTCTTTTACTTTTTAAATTTTAATGCTAAATAAATGAATCCCACATAACTCAACTCCATTTTTTAGATTAATAGTAATTTGCCAACTGCCATGTGAAGATTACTGCTACTTTAGAAAAGGAGTTGTCGTATCTTGAATTCGAAAATGCCAGTTTCTAAAATTAGCGTTCAATAGTTGTATAATAACTTTCACTCACATTCAGCAACATTATTTGTTGGTAACTGTCATCTTGTAAAGGAAGTTGAAAAATACCTACATTTTATCAAAAAGGAACAATTGCAGTTGCCATTTTAAAGATTGGTTGGGATTCATTCATTTAGCACTTATAAAAAATTATTTAGAGAGAAACTTTCTTTTTGCTCAGTGTTTTGTTGAACTTTGTTTTTTAACACGTATTAACATAGTTTTATTATATTAGTACGTTAATGTAGCAAATAATCGTTGTATAAATATGTTTTCTACAAAACTGTTACAATATATGTGTGTTGATCAATATATATTGTGTCTTAAATAATTTTCACATTTGTCCACTACACCAAACCTATATCGAGACTCTCGGGAAATTAGGCTCACTATTTCCCAGGGAAGAGTACATTAAGTGTTTTGTTATATAGGGAAAAAATCATAATATTCGACAACTCTTCAATAAAATCAATGTCTTTCGGCGGTGGGGAAATTGGCCGGCAAAATTTCGTTGCAAAATGCTATGATTGACCACAGCAATTTAGGTTGACTTCCGAGTGTTTTCTTAATTCTTTTTTATTAATAGTTGATTTTCGTCACTTAATAAGCTCGAGAAATGTTTTTCAGTTTTCGGTTTAATGGATGTTTTATTCGTTATGATATTAAAATGAGCGGGCAACACCTTTTCACTTGTTTTCATGGCAGGAAATCGTGCATTTATTTCTAGTCATGTGACTACTAATCAATAAATCACAATTACTATACACAGCACCTATATAGCGATACAATTAATTGTGTAAATAGACATAATTCGAAAGTAGATTTGCCGATTTGAATGGTTTGCAGGATTCCAAATCTAAATCAAACGATTTTCATGCACATCATTAGTCTCCTAGAATTTAGTTCGGAATAATTCATCAGTGCGACATGGTGATCAGGAATTAAATTTTCAGAATGAGTTGAATTTTATAATACTGTTTCTTTATACATCCTGTATTTGTCCC